ATGAGGAACTTGATTGTAATTTGAACTTAGTGGAGCACGAAGTAGTTCTATATGGAACCAATTTTCATTTTATACAAACAAAATCCTAAATCACCGATATAGAGAGAGAGAAAGAAGGAAAAAAAAGCAGAAAATGGAAAGAAGAAGAAAAAAAAGGGAAAACCTAGCATCGCCGTCTTTCTTCACCCTCTTGGTGACGACTTTAGGTTTATAAAGAGCAAAAGTGGGAAAGAAGATAAGGGAAAGATAAGGAAAAGAAAAAAGAAGAAGTAAAAACGACGAAGTATTCGATTGAAACTTGGAGGATCCGACACATATTCCATACCCATACCCATGTCGTATCCGACACAGGTACTCCAACTATTTCGAAGAGTCCGAGTATTAGAGAATTGGAGTACACTTAATCAAGTACATACAAAGAAAAGGAATCGTTTGACAACAAAGAGATTGAATACATTAGTTTATATTATGTACAACAAGAGGCTTAAAGATCGACATGAAAGATTGAAGTCACTCAAAGAAGGAAAAGATCATTTAGTTGTCAAAGATTTTCTGACGATGAATGTATTGCTGATTTTGATGAAGTTCCATCAAACACAAGTCATGTAGAAGATGATGGGCCTAGTCCACAAGGAATTGAAAGTCCTACCCGCATTCAAAGTCAAACCTAAAAGAAACAATCTATTTCACAAAAGGGATCCATACATGGCTAATTAAATTTAGGGTAATTAGCAAATAACGTCCCCAACTTTCACTGTTATTGTGAAAAATGTTCATACCTTTCATTTTTTGGTATTTTTACCCTTATTTCCACATTTTATTGCACAAAAGGTCTTTTCATTTATTTTCTCAATTAAAAATTGTGAAATGACGAATATACCCTTATCTTTAAATAAAGCAAAAAAGAAAAAGAAAAATTAATTGCAACCATAGTCCTATTTTTTTTTAAAAAGCGTAAATGAATCCTAAATAAATTCTTAAAAGGACAATTAGCACATAATTTCCATACATTTCACTATTATTGCCAAAAAAATAAAGATAAAACCTTGCCTTTTTTTTTTTGCATTTTCACCCTTAATTACATATTTGATTACGCAAACCACATTTCTATCAATTTTCATCCAATTTCTCAATGAAAAGCTGTGAAATGACGAATATATCAAAAAGCTAAATAATTAATTGCAACCATAGTTCCAAATTTTTTAAAAAAAGTGCAAACGAGTCCAAATAAATTATTAAAGAATTATAAATAAAAAAAATATTTTTTTATTTAAATAGAAGGGTATATTCATTATTTCACGGTTTTTTATTGAGAAATTGGATGAAAATGGTGGTTTGCGCAATCAAACGTGTAATTAAGAGTGAAAATAACCAAAAAACATGAAAAGTATGAACGTTTTTTGAAATAACGATGAAAGGTAGGGACATTATGTACTAATTACCCTTTTAATAATTTATTTGGGACTCATTTGCGTTTTTTAAAAAAATTGAGACTATGGTTGCAATTAATTTTTTTTCTTTTTATTTTATTTAAAGAGAAGGGTATATTCATTATTTCACAATTTTTAATTGAGAAAATAGATGAAAATGACCTTTTATGCACTGAAAGTTGGAGATAAAGGTGAATGTGCCAAAAAATGAAAGGTATGGACGTTTTCCACAATAACAATGAAAGGTGGGGACGTTAAAAGTGCTAATTACCCTTAAATTTACTAAGATTTACAAAATTATATTAGTGAATTGTTTTTTTTTTTTTTTTTTAATTTATAGAGGGAGAAGGCACCATAGCAATTCGTGAATGAGGAACATATTGGATAGAAATTGATAGATAGTGATGACAGGGGAATTAGATATGACGACAATTCCAAGGAAGATGCTATTAATAGCGATGATAGCGCAGACTTTTAATTTTTTTTAATGTAAGTTGTTTTCCATTGCAATAGGAGTGACAGACAATATAACATTTACTATTTTATTTACTTATTTTGGTGTTGATTCAATGGATAGTTCTTTAAGATTGGTTGTTTACGGTTTATTATATTTATATGTGTATTTTATAATTTTTTTGACTAATTTTTTTTGTCTGCTTGTTTAAGCTTACACATCGCCTCACGAAGGAAAAATTCCACAGTACCTAGTTCTGCCTTTTTAAACTTTGGGCTGATGATATCCAACAACTAAGTTAAGACCCTAAGGACTATGAAAGTATCCATGTCTAGCCACTACTTGAAAAATAAAAATGCTCTTGATTCTAAAGTATATCATATCAGGATAATAAAATTCCAGCATTTTAACTAGTATAAAACCACAAATTCATTATAACATAAATTTCATAGAAGTTGCCGAAGCCAATTCACAGACTAGTAAAGAAACTCTACTTCGACAACTTCGAATCTGTTAAGAATAATGAAATCAATTACCTTAAAGCCTTTTGAATCAGCTAGACCTTTAAATTGCTCAAGATAACAAATTTCACTCTCGTGTCCTTGCATGAAATCTTCCACGCTTTCATCATGCTCTTCTTCTAGTTTATATCTCCCACAACCTTTTCAGAAATCTCAATACTTCCTTTTTGTGGCATTTCTATGATTTTTCTTATGCCTGAAAAATCTTTACTTTTGATTCTTCAACATCGACAACTCATAATGTTTGTAGCTCCAAAATAGTAGGCCTTATTTCCAAACCACACAAATTAAAGAATCCTCCACGAATGTTAGAGATGTTGTCATGTCTCTTGTGGTAGAATATATGATGGAAAGAATTAGCATTGAAATTATAGAAAAATGAGGAAATGCCGAAGAGTATAAAAGAAGACGAGAGGAGAGATTTGGCCTTGAAGGACTAGGAAAAGTCACACAACCTTATTATCAAACTCTCATATTAATCAACTCTTCTATTTAATTGAAAGAATATATGCTTATTGTAGAATGCTGGATTTCCTAATGCTTCAAGGACACATGAAAAACTCATAGAAAGCTAAGAAATAAAGCAAGGCTCTTAGCTAACATACTCCTGGGCTATTACAATTCTCAGTAAAAGTGGGATTGCATTAAAATGACTAATTTATGATACTACAGAGTGGACAATACCCATGTCCAGCCATTATATAAAGTAAAAAATGTAGTGGATTATAATAAATATAGCATCCTAGTGTACTGCCCACCTAACTGCCCAGCCTCAATTTATACAATTGCCATTACAAGTTCACACCAGTTCTTTTCGTTGGTGAATTAACTTGACGACTAGCAACACGCAAATTTAATTCCTGTGCTAGATTCTCACTGAATTAGCCATCTAGTTGATTGAAAAAAAAAAAAAAAGATCAATGCCAATTAACTTTAGGATTGATTTGAGATCAGCTAGTCCAGTGGGAAAGACTTATCAAGTTGAAGTCAACAGTTTCAATCACATAAAATTAGCCCTGAATTGTTGTCAATTTTGTAAAATGAAGTCTAATACTTTATTATTATTTATCTTTGGACTATCATGCATTTGGCAACACATAATTGTCAAATTTTCATTTCATACGAAAAGTTCCAAAGACTGTAAGAAAGCTGCGAAGAGATGAAAGGAAAAAAAGAGATAGCAGTAACTCCATATGGTTTGGTTCCAGCATTAAAAGTATTAACATGACATCAATATAAAAGTCTAGGGAACTTGAAGTAATTACTGGACTGGAAAATGAAAAAAACTGATATGTTACCAGCACTCGAGAGCCTTGATACTTCGGCTTCAGCATTATGAATAAATTCCTCTTTATGACCTTGGACATACAGGTTCAATTGATCTTTCAGTATACCAGCAAGCTTCTCTTCCCTTTCCTTTTGAACAATCTAAATGTTACAAGGAAAAAATCCTCAGTAAATGAACACGGATATAATAAACAAATTTCCATTCAAGAGTTGCAAATACCGTTAGGAGAAATTCTCCCTTCCTTTTGAGGATCACAATGGCACATTAATCACTGTCAAGAATTTATCCTGTTAATAAACTTGAGTAATATTTTTCTCTATACCACGTTATCTTTTCTTTTAGTCAGTAATTAGAAGATGTATTCCCTATGCAAAAGAATTTTATAGAGCATATCTATCCAAATTCTTATATAGAGATAAAAAGAAGAAAAGTAATATCCTAATCACAAAAATTTGCTAGGCATCTCCCAATAGGAAAAGAAAACAATTTCCTTTGATAACCTCTTTTCCAGAACTAAATCCTGTCAACAAAATAATATAACTAGAAATGACAGAATACTAAACTAGCAAAATGGGAAGTTTAAGTCGGTTCTAACACTGCTTGCATTTTCCTACACCACTTAGTTTCAAAGAAGGTCCATGAAAAAGAACCAGAGAAGATAGAAATTAGAATCATAATCTCTCAATCTGATATCAATATTAAGCCTCCATTTGGTAAATTTATAAATGGTTTATAAAGAGGAATAGTTGTAGGAGCACAAAATGCGTGGATAATAATTAGTAGCTATGAATGTGTGGTTGAAATTAATATTTGTCATTGACTGAATTTATAAATGGTTTATAAATTGTCATCCAAACAGAGGCTTAGCTTATTTAGTAGACAGTAAATTTGAGAGCAGAAAAGATAAGAATAAGGCCCTTTCAGTCACTCCTTCCCTTCACTGTAACCTTGAACTCCTATTAACCTCAATGACCGAAATCCTCATGGAGGTACACACAAATGTAAAGTTCAAATGCTCAACACGGAGTATTCAAAATTTTACCCTCATTTTCTCTTGCAACTTTTTAGCATCAAAATCTTCTCCTGTGAATATATCCAAGGAAGCCATTGATGCCATGGCAAGCTGACCAATGTATTTCTCGAAAAGCTCACTTCCAAAGAGCATTGCAAAAATTGCTGCAGGATCAATAATTGCTTCCCTGAAATGAATTCAAGGCAAAAAAATCGTCATTGGAAAATAGATGTTAAAATCAAGTCAATGTATCTAAAGCTCTTGACTATGCAAAAGCTAAGAAAGTTCATAAATATAAAATAAACTGACGTTGAAATTCCCGACTTTCCATGGGCATCATAAGATTGTCTTTGGGATGGATCACTCAGCACTTGGTAAGCCTCCCCTACAATCTGAAATCAACGGGAAGATTAGAAAATGAAAGATCAAGAGCATACCTCACACATTAAACATGAATATATACAGATCCAGAACACTAGATCATTGCTCATCCTTAGCAAGGTTCTATCATTGTTATTGTAAGTTTTTTGCAACTATCCACACGTGTACAAAACCAACACCAGTTGAAAGACTCAGGCTTCTTTTTTTTCCCCCTTTTGTTTCATTAATCAGATTTTCCCCAGACAAAGTAAGCAACAGACAATGCATGAACGATGAGTGAAAAAAGCAAGTGCAAATTCGAGGCAATATTCTGCCAAGAGCCAACAGCAATATTAATCCCCAAATAAGGAAAGAATAGAAGATAACAACAAATTGAAGTTTCTCAAAGTCTAGGACTACACATCTTTGGATCTTGCAGAGTCCTTCTATTTATGGTTAAACCCCTTAATAAGAATAAATATTAGCCATGGACTTCTGTTTAGTGCTTGCTTGGTATTGCTTCTCAGAAGCACCGACACGCTGCCGACGACAACGTATCGGTGTCCGATATGTATCAGACGCCGATACGCCTCCGACACGTCGCCGACGATGCGTCGAAGTCACTTGCAGCGTGTTGGAGGCTTAGGTGGGCAGCCGGAGGAACTGAGAAGGCAGAAAAAAGAGAGAAAAAAAGAAGGAAAAAGAGAAGGCAGCCGGCGGAACTCTGGTAGCTTGGGGAAGGAAGAAGAAAGAGAAGGAAAGAAAAAGAGAGAAAATAAAAGAGAAAGAGACCTGTGGAGGAAGAGGAAGAGGAAGAGTTGTCGTCTGGGGAACGTGTGTCTGGGGAAAGGAAAGAAAACAGTGCACAGTGGAGGAAGAGATGGCTGAAAAGTCATCATTTTACCAATGAAAATTTCAAATTGTAGGGCACACCACTGTAAAATTTCCAATGTTGTATACGTTTTGTGTCTTTTCCAATAGCTGTATTTTTTTTTTTATAAAACAATATATAATATTTTGTTTGAATTAATTTGTAACATTTTACCCTTCAACAAACAATCAATCCTTATTTTCGGACTACAAAATTAAAATAACCTAAAAATTTTTTTTTTACAATCAACGTGCCGGCGATGTATCTTGTCAGAACTTTTTTAAAGAATCGCGTGTCGGCGTGTCCGACACGATCCGCGTCGATGCTTCTTAGTATTGCTTTTAAGTGCTTAAAAATTATAGGTCCTACGGAATATGTGGATGGTAAGTTGTGACCCTATGAAATATGTAGATAAAAAGT